AATCATCTCTCTTTTGCTGAAGGGACAAACATTTAATAAACATAGTCAGGGAAAAATTGTGTAGAAGAACAACCACCAGTTAAGAGCTGCAAGTAAAGCTGATTCCTTATAAAAGCACCCAGAAATCATCTCTGTTTGAGTAAAATGAAGGAATAACTACATTTATTTTCTGTTTCTTCTCATAACAATGTTATGCAAAATGTGTGGATTTAAAAAGTATGAGAAATTCAGTAAGTCCCACAGAGCTGCACAACTCTGTCTTATTCGTAATTCCAATGGAAGAATGTATCAGCGGAGCCTCTGGTCGTGTTTCTTACATATGGTGTGATTGTCTAAAGTGCAAATCATAATTAAAACAGAAAATCCTGAAAGATTCCCATAAAGGAGGGCAGAGAATAGTTTTCACATCACGCTGATATTTTATGGATATATTTTCTTTATCCAGAATAAAAAGAATAATTACCAAAAAAAAAATTTACAAATGAAAAGTTAGAAACAGATTATGTGCAGTTCGTTGAATGCAGTGTTTCATTTAAAGAATATCAAAGCATTTTAATAAGTTTTAAAAGATCTATAATGAACTTGCATTTTGAAATCAGGCTAATAATCTTTATAAATCTTCAGCACATTGTACTAAAAGACTAAAAATCTCTGGAGAAAAAAGACTAAATAATTTAGGGAGCTGGCTATGGGTCAGATCTTTCAAATCCTTTCCAATGTTCACTACAAAATCACATGCCATGAGTTTGAAAGACTTTAATGTTATTGAGTGGAATGTCCATTATCTCCTCAAATATTAGGCATGATTTAAAAAAAAAATTCTTTCTGAGGGAAGTGGATGCCAAAATGCAATCATCTGACTGTTCTGCATCAGCCAAAGCAATGAACAGAGTTCTGCTTTGCTGTTTAATCTTCCAGCATATCTTGGACAGAAATAGAATGCCACTTTATTTATTTTGTCTCTTCAGTGTTTTTAAGTGGCCTCTCCTGATGGATCCAAGATATTTTTCTCCCTTTTTTCCTGTGGTAAGGCCATACAGGTCAATTCTGATAATCTCATGCATCAAAACTAATGTTGCAATGTTATTTTTTAAAAAAAATATATATACTCCCAGCAACAATTATGAGTAGATTTTTTTTCTGAAACTAAATGTAGATATATATAGTTCCACTTGAGATGTCAGATTTTTGACAGTAGGTATCTAAATTCCATCAGCAATCCAGCTCCTCTGGGGAAAAAAAAAAAAAAGAAAGAAAAAAGAAAAAAGAAAAAAAAAAGAAAAAAATAAAAAAGGGGGGGGAAAAAGAGGGAAAAAAAGTTGGATACCTGGACTGGTAGGAAAACAGACTTATCTTAGGTATTTAGGGAATGAAAGAACAGGTTTGAACTATGTGGGGAATGAAATAGAAGAACATTCTCAAATTGTCCTTTTATAGGACATGTCATTTAGACAGGAGCAAGTTACCTCCAGTATTGCTTCTATGGCAAATTAAGTGGAATTCAGGGAATCATGCATCAAAATGCCCCAAATAGGTCTTTACTGGTGTGTTGCAAAATGTATTCTGAACTGAAGCCTAGCAGAAAGACGTTAAAAACATTATTTTCATCTGACACTGTCCAGTTTTCTTAGGGTGGGAGTATGCTGGCTTTGAAGGAAGCCATAATCATAAAGTTTCAGTCTGGTAAAGGGAGTAGTTTTATGCCTATGGAGCCTTATGCATATGAGGTTCGTAATCCATGACAGAGGCTGCTGAATATACTGTTCCCAAGTTAGTGGCTGAGAATCTCCTGTGTTCTAGGTTAGACCTCTCATCACAAGACACAAGGAGCCACCTCTTTCCTCCCAAATCTAAAATTAGGAATCTGTGACATTAAAAAAATATGTGATAAAGTTGTATGTGTAACAAATGTGGTAGTCTTTGCATAGTGGATAAATCATCACCCCACCTGCAAGTCCCAGTTATTTTGCTCACAGTAGTCTGTGAAGTTATTTGTATTGCATGCATTGGTTTTGGAGTATGCATCATAGGTTTAGCCTTTAATAGCCTGGCACAGTTTGTATGTGTCCCAACTGGGTTATGCAGTTGGGAACTTTGGTCTGATACCTTCTAACATTTTAAATTCCTAAGGAGTAACTGTGATATCATCTTTATATCAATGATTTTAGTTTACACAAAGCTTAACTCAGCTATGATTATTTTATCAGAAAGCTTGCTATTATCATTTCTCTTCCTGATTACAATCACTTCAAGTTTTTAATCTCACAAAGACATAGAATAATCTGTAGAATTGCAGACCAATGAGATGTTGAAAAAAAAAAAAGTACTTACTAAGGCTGGAAATTTGCATAAATCAAGTGATGGTAACAGGAAGTTTCTGAGCAGTGGTACTTCAATAGATGTGTACCCCTGTAGTTACAGAATCACTTCTTGATACTTCTTTTTTAAAAAAACTCCATATCTTTCACATGGAGTTTGCTTTGTATGCTGTTTAAAGTTATGATATGTACAGGTTTTCATAGCTTTAATTCAGGAAAGGAAAGCGATGGCTGCTTATGAAGCCTCATAATTAATTCTTTTACTCAATGTTTATGAAAGCAAATTTCTCTTGTTTTCTATGTGTGTTAGCCTGAGAGAGAGAGAATTTCTGAGATGAAATTTCAGCTTTGGATTCTACACTTTTCAAGGAAAATTAAATTTTGATGAGAAAACAGGATCGTTTTCATGCCGGGATCTTTGGAAAAGTTTTCTGAAGTTCTCTAATCACAGATTCTTCCAATTCCATGTATTCTTCCACATACTTCATCTACTTTTAATACTGTTTCATGTACTTCAATTTCATATATCATTTGTAAAGGGAATCAGAGCTTTATTTAAATATCTCTTCAGATTCTCAAGTTGATTTTTTTAGGAAACTTCTTAGTGATTAACCCCTTTTTTCTTTCTTAGTTTGAAGAATGCAAAATTCCATAGTTCTGAACCACTTATATTTATAGTGATAGCACCATTTTGTTAAGAACACCCTTCTTGATTAAATCAAATTTCCAATTGATTTTTTTAAGACCCTATAAAAGAGGCTTCATAATTTATATCATATATGACCTACTAATCTGCAACTCAAAGTATGTTAGTGCATTCAGGGTGTCAGCCTTTCCAAGTTGATTCTCTTTAACTTGGAGGGAAAGTACATTTCTACCTGTGACCTGATATCTTGATTCATGTTGCCATGTGCTTGCAACATCCTTGCTATATACAGGAGGTTAGGTTATTTTTCTTATAACCCCCACACAGAAAGTCCTCTGTTGTCAGCTCTCATTGCTGCCCACCAGGAGGGTTGGACGTTTTAACTCATCATGTGTTGCTTTTTTGTGAGGGAAGCAGATCATGCTGCAGGGAAGGGGTGCTTACACAGTGAGTGAGCAGTAAATGCAGTGTTGTTGCCTCTCCAGTATCCCACAAAAAAACACATCTAGGGCCATACTGCTCCTCGATGAAAAGAGGAAGTGGACAGGTAGATTATCCATTTAAGATGAGTCTGCAATAAAGTAGAAGACAACAGGAGGAGCCAGACATAGAAAGAACAGTGATCCACAGCGTGATGTAAACTCATTTTAATCCAAACACATTGACATATGCCTTAGAGGCTTCTTTGTGAAGTGGGAGTCCTACTCAACAGGGATATTTACAGTCAAAGTCAAATTTAGAGAGTGGAGAACATATGTATTCCATATGCCAGGCCTTTTCTATTCTCCTATGCACCTCTATACCTCTTGCCCATTCCCATTCATTGTCTCTTCTAATGACATGTTTACTGTAGGCATAAAGACTGCATAGATAAATCATATTTAAAATTAAATTGTGTAATGAATATCCTGCAGTTTCGTTTGGACTTCCTTGCTGCAAAGAAGTACAGACAACTTTTACCAATAGTATAAAATAGACAGGGGTTAGGTCATTGTTCCCCCAAAGCAGCTGCCATAAGCTAACAATGGCTTTTAGATACTGTGCTGCTTCTGATAATTCTTTGCAGTTGCTGTAGCACTAAATCTTTGTTCATCTTCTGTCATAAACTATGAATCATAAAGATTCTCTGATTTTCATTCCCCCAGGTGATCAACAATGAGTGACTTATCCTGTAAAACATTCTGACTCAGCTAATTTGAATCAGTTACCCTCTCTAAGTGAGAAAACTGCTATAGTGTAGGAGCTTTCATACATCAAGGGATACATGTTCTAAATGAGAGCCCACTATTTTGTAAGATACTAAGAAAAGCAGTGTTTCACCCAGAACAGTCCTGAGGAATAAGCTTTTTGATATCAACGGGTAGGGATCAAGTACTAATATTCCATGTAATATTACTATTTATTTCTGCTGTTGGGCCACTTTTTGCAAGTACTAACATTAGCACTGAGGAGGGGTATAAAAATAGTTACTCTTTAAACTCCTGGAAGATCAGCATGACCAAAAGCAAAATGGTTTCTTCCAGTGGACTCAGGAACAGAGAAATTACCTGGTCCTGTGCAGCATCAATAAGGTGAGTTGAAAGTAAGTATTCAAGCTAAAACCAAAAACGCTGACAACACAAATGCTCCTAGTTTCATAAAATGAATGATGAGTTGTATTCTGATAACTCATTGATAGAAAGGGGTCTTTAGTTCACCTAGAAGTGTTGGTCTCCCTCAAATCCAGATTGTCAGTGTGGTTCTTGGTTTTGTTAGGAAATTCCCCAGAGCTGATAGTTTGAATGACTTTCTGTCATGCAATATGTGGGAACTGAAATAAAAATTTTGGAGATGAGAGATGAGGGACCCCAACATGATCAACCTGTTTCTCTAGAACAGTGTTTTCCAATTTGTCTCTGATGGTTTCCACAATTTCTGTCCTTCAAACCTGTCCAAAACAACCTGCAGTGATTTGTTGTCTAACTCTTATTTGTTTGACCCTTGGCTGAAGTTGCATGTCTGTTTTTCTACTTTATATTTTTCTTTTTGAATTTCAGACTTATCAACGAGTCTTTGAGAGACCAGTTGCTAGTTACCATACAGAAGACTTTCACATACACCCGAACCCAGGCACAGCACCTCTTCATTATCCTCATGGAGTGCATGAAGAAGAAGGAGCTGGTATGTTCAAACTTTCCTTAGAGGCAAAGAGAGAGCTCAATGCATTATTTTGATTGTCTGTCAGGTCCCTGTTGAAGGATTTCACAAAACTGATCACTGTGATCCAAACTCTAAAAGGATATTATATCATGCTGACTTTTGCTTGCTTTAATCTATATTTTCTCGTTTAAAGTGAATAATCCAACAGAACTTCTCTTTCACCACAGAAAATCTCAGAAGGAAGCACAATTGTTTATCTGTCACTGGGATCATATTTTAAAGATGCTGTACAATTGCACGAGTATCACTAAGGCTATTATTTTATTATGGATATGTGTGACAGGACAAGAAGAAACAGCTTGTCTCCAAAGCTCATAATCTGCAACAGCAAGGCTATCCCTTTAATACATACTTACTCTTTCTTGAAGAACACAAGATCTTTCAACAGTTTCTGGGAGCTCCATGAGGCTGCTTTTGCAGAAGCATTTTTGAAGCAAAATCACTTTGTAAAAAACTTGGGATTCAATTCCATGGGGTTTTATTTCTTACAAACTGACTGAATAGACATGCTGCAATTTTGTAACTTAATCTTTATTCTAAGCTTTGTTTCCAGTTCATATTGCAGCTTCCTGGAATTCCAGACTGATGACAGTCTGCAACACTTTGTGTAGGGTAACACTCAAAAGGAAAGATTGACTCAGTTGTTTTACAGAAGTTTCATTTTCTGAAACTGTTTGAGTTTTTTGTGAATTCATCCTCTGCAGTGCCATATAATTTTAGTTGAAAATATGGCACAGAGTAATTAATACCACTGGAAGGGAATGGGGGATAAAAGTGTTAAAAAAAACAACAACAACAAAACAAACAAAAAAACCCCACCAACCACCTGCCCTTCTAGACAGAACTTTGCAAAATAGAATATATTTCTTTATATGGTTTAATTTGCCAAAAGTGCAGTATTCTATTCAGTAACCAGCAGTTCATGCATCCATCCTCATGCATAACTAATCATTTACATGTACCACAATCACCTGGTGTGTAACTTGGACAATGGTAGAGACGAGAGAATCCCAAGGACAACGTTTCAGGGAAGACATGAGAGCAGCATGCAGTTCCACTATGCCGTTGCAGTGTAGATGGTTGATGGAACCGGATGTCTGCTGTCGTCTTCCTCCCACAATCAGAATTCAAACTGTATAGCAGACTTTAAACACCCTTTAGCTATCCACAAGCAGTCAGTGCAGCTCATAAGGTATAGACTAGTCATGCCTTCCCTAGGAGAACTACATCAAGGTAGAGTTCTTTTTTCTTTCTTTGTCTTTTTTTTTTCGCATCAAAATCTCTTTTGCATTTAAAGATGCTCAGAAAAATATGAGTGTGTTTTCAGAAATATTCTTTCTATCCATTTATGATTGTCAAGATGTACCATGACCTCCATGGAACTTGAGTTTGCTTTATATGTGTAGTACATATGGACCTCAGTCTACCTTAATTTTTAATTTGCCGTAACATTTCTTATC